GCTCTCCCCCGCTTCGCCGGGCCCGCAGGAGCTCGCACGGACCTGTCGGATTCCGCGCGCCGGGAGCCGCCGAGGAGCAGCATGGGCCAGTGCAACTGCCGCAAGAAGCGCAAGGTCCCCGGGAGCCGCCGGCGCGYGGAGGCGGGGGGCGCTGGGGAGGGGGGCACGGCTCCGTGGGGAGCATCCCGGCCTTTCCCGTGATTCCCACGCATCCCGGGGAGCAGCTCGCTGCGGGCTGCATGGAGCCGGCGGCACGACGTTCCCCGCGCCGGTGGCGGGCTTTGCCGTGATGTCTGGGGTCACYGGTCACCTGCTGGCACCCGCCGGAGTGACCGAGGGCTGGTGGGACTGGGAGACCCCGTTCGGAGCGGGATGCGGCCCCGGGGCCGCCGGGCGCCCGGCACTGACTCACGGCGCTGCTTGTGCAAAGGAGAGGAAGAACCAGTCGGGACGGCGGCGCTCCGCGGGCCGTGGGTGTAGCGCAGCGCCCCGGGGACGCCGCCGCGGCAGCTCCGCACGGGGTCGCGGGGACAAGGGGGGACGCTGCGGTGGAGGGGTCACCGCGGCACTGCGGGGCCACCAGGGCTATGTGGGGTGTCCCCCGTACATGGAGGGACACRGCTCCTGCCTGGGTGGAGCAGAGCGGCATGGGCTGCGGCACGTCCCTAGGGAGGGCCGTCCCGCCCGTAGGGAGGGATGACACATGGGGACGGAGGGACGTCTGGTCTGGGTGCACCGACGTCCTGTGGCATGGAGGGGCATCATGTCCCTGTGGAGGACGCCATCTCCAGATGGAGATCACATCTGGATGGAGGGACATCGTGTCCCTGTGGAGGACAACATGTTCCTATGGAGGGGCATCATGTCCCTGTGGAGGACACCATGTCTAGATGGAGGGACATCACATCTGGATGGAGGGACATTGGGTCCCTATGGAGGACACCATGTTCCTCTGGAGGGGCATCATGTTCCTATGGAGGACACCATGTCCGGATGGAGGGACATCACATCTGCATGGCATGGCACCATGTCCCTGTGGAGGGACATCTTGTCCAAATCGCGGGGCATCATGTTCCTATGGAGGACACCATGTCCGGATGGAGGGACATCACATCTGGATGGAGGGGCGCCATGTCCCTATGGAGGGACATTATGTCTAAATGGAGGGGCATCATGTCCCTATGGAGGGGCATTACGTCTGTAGGGGGGTATCATATCTATATGTACATCTATAGGGGGGTATCATATCTATATGTGGTGAATTGCAGCTATATGGAACCTGCAGAGAGGGATGGCACATCTATATGGCCAGCTGGCACATCTGCATGGTGGACTAGCACACCTGTATGGTGGGATGTCACATCCATATGGTGGGATATCACATCATCTGGTGGGATATCACATCCATGTGGTAGGATGTGATATCGTGTGGTGAGATGTCACATCTGTGTGGTAGGATGTCACATCCATGTGGTGGGATGTCACATCCATGTGGTTGGATATCACATCATGTGGTGGGATGTCACATCTGTGTGGTAGGATGTCACATCCATGTGGTGGGATATCACATCGTGTGGTGGGATATCACRTCCATGTGGTTGGATATCACATCCATGTGGTGGGACATCACGTCGTATGGAGGGATGTGACCCCCGTATGGTGGGATGCCACCCCCAAGGGTGGGCTGGGAGGGCCGGCGCCTCTGCTCCCGCATCCTGCGCAGCTCCCCGCTCACCCGCGCCCTCCGCCAGGACTGCCAGGAGCTCACGGACGTGGAGCGGGCCATCGAGACCGTCATCAACCAGTTCCACTGCTACGCCGTGAAGGGCCAGAAGGAGTACCTGACCCCCAACGAGATGCGCGAGCTGGTGGTGCAGAAGCTGCCCCACCTGGGCAAGGTAACGGGGAGGCCGCCGCCATGGAGGGGACATGGTGGTGACYGGGGTGGGGAGGCCACGTCCCCGCACGGCCACCGACCCCGCCGGGGCCCGCAGTGCGTGGGGCCGCTCGAGGAGAAGATCGAGTGCATGGGYGACCCCGATGAGGCCAAGCTGGAGTTCGGCGAGTACTGGGACATGATGGGCGACGCCGCCAAGGGCTGCCGCAGGAAGTAGCCGCTGCGCACGCCGCCGCGG